GGTGGAAAGGAAAATACTCGATCGATATGCGAAATGAGAGGAAGATCATTACGACTATTGACTTTCGTTTGACCTATATTTGTTGAACCAATCAAAATATGAGATTCCACAGAATATGACGTCATTTGTTTGGGGGGTAACGGGAATTCCCTTTTTTCATCAGACTGTTATTGAAAATATCCCAAATAGTCGATATAACGAGGTATTGTTAACCTGAAGTGATAAAATGACTTTAGAATCTGTCAACCAGGAAGTTGAGAAAGTTCCAGAAGTTTTATTGCCAAACACAAATATTGTTACTCATTGTATTTTGAAGAATGATGTTGATCGTCTGACGAAATGTTTCGAAGATGAGGAAGATGAATTTAAAGATAAGGTGGAATCACTTTTAAATATCAGGAATGAAGAAGGGAAATCACCTCTAGATCTAGCAGCAATGTTAGGGAGAAATGATATTACCAGGGAATTACTTCAACGTGGTGCTGATTTATCCCAAATTTCTTGGAAAGGTTTGTTCCTACTAGGCCTACTCCCTGCTGCAGTCCAATTCTAATCTTTCCACATATTTGTAGCTATGCACTTTACTGTGTAGACAAGATTTATGTTCAAATGGTAATGGAGGGGATAATGTGAACAATAGGCTCATTCCGAGGTACTGTATATTAAACTATATAGTCTAATAGGTCAAGCAAAGGTTAACAGAATGAAAGTCAAGAGGCTTGTAGGCCTGCTGTCAGTACGAAGTAGATTTAAGCTACCCTAAACTAATTTCCTATGTATAAGGATCTAATACACCAACTAAAGTCAAGCTTATTCCAAATTAATTTCTTTCAATTGTAGGATTTTCACCTCTTCACTATGCAGCAGCCTGGGGTAAAATAGGTATTTTAAAGGTGCTAGTTGAACACCAAGTTAATTTACAACAGAAAAACGCTCATAATGAAAGAGCCAGAGAAACAGCTTTAAGATATAGTCAAAGTGAATGTGTTGATTATTTAGATTGGGCAGGTAGGTTCTATTTTTGTTCAGTCAGTTTACTTTGCTCTTCTATGCCCCATGGGCTTATAAGTGCTATTCAAAATATAAAGCCATTTCTAAACCAGCTGTCCTGATGTAGATTTTATATCAAAAATGTGTTGGCTGCATATGAATTTTATTAAGTATCATTAGGTACAAGTGGGCCTTTTGGCTTACTCATAAATGTAAAACTAATTTGGCAACAAGTATATTTTTAATGATCTTCATTTCATAAACCTAAGTGAGCCTATAACAGTTCAATCTGGATATTACTGATAGGTCTACTAAATAGTAAATTTTTTATTTTAACATATTGATATAGATGAAGTTGGCAAAAAATTATTAATGAGATTTCACATGGAAGTATTTTTCATAGAATGATATTGTTTTTTTTTTATATAGAAGCTAAAGTGAATTTGATAGCAGCTATTAAACATATACAGGAATGGATAACAGATCCAGAGAGAGTACAAGGTCGGCTTAATAAAGAGGAAAAGGTAAAGCTTATGACCTTTAAAAGGATTATGTAGTCTAAACATTTACTTGGAGCTGATATTGCTCAACATTCTTATGGTCAGTGACTGGTCAGTCTAAGTTTTTGCAGTGAATTTTCCACGATATCAGGACAACAGGTTGTACAAATTTTATTCTAAAAAGGGTTATGGATAGCTGAAACTGAGCTGGTGTAGCAAATATTTAGATATCTTTAGATAAAGGTACTTATCTTATATTTAATTAAGTAGCTACATGCTTTAGTTGATGTTAGATTCCACATAGCTAACACTGTTTATACTGTTTTTTTTTATGTGCAGCCTGCAATTGGCATTCATATAGGTAAATATTTATTTTTCATTTTATATTTACAATACAGAACATCTCAAATGGAGCTGTGAAAGAAAAAACAGAATGGGTAGAAGCAACAGTTGATGCTACAACTCAGGATTTTATACAACAGAAAGCTAATATTGAAGAACTACTAGCACCAATTATGCAGAAACTTTCAGAACCATGTAAGTGTAGTCAAGAAAAAATATTTGTGCTGAGTCAAAACATAAGTACAAGCAGTCTGTTCGATTTTTATTAATTAGATAGTGAATGAATCTATGTAAGTCACATTGAAATTAAGTTTATTACTACTTCCTACTTGTAACCTAGGCAAGTGATTCTATAAGAGAGTTTCTCTTATAAAACCTTATACTACTTAACTTTTACTCAAAGTTAAACATAGAGCTATCACTGGATATACATAATTGTGATCCAGGAAACAAATATAAACAAATAAATTAATAATATGCACTCTATCCTGACAAAAAATTGAACAAGTAAGAATAATGTGGACACCATTAAAGTGAGTGGTAATATTGAACTCTAATTGTCCTCACAAATCAGTTATATTGAATAGAAAATATGAAAATATACAACTAACTGTTGTTATTCTCTAACTAAGAATTTGTTGAATTTTTTTCATTATAGTGCCAGAGAAGCCAGAAAAGAAATGAATTTGGCAGATTGTAATACTTAAAAAAATGTACCAAGATGTAATCCAAATAATGAAAGAGTTTCCACTGATTGTATATTTATTGTAAAGAAGAAAATTGTCCAAATATTTATTGATTTGGTCTCAATAAAATGATAGTCATATACAATAGAGTGATTTTGACTACTTTGTGTTTTACCAAATCCAGGAAGTTTGAATGGATTAGAGAAAAGATTGAAATTAATGGTTGTTAAATTTTCATGGCTGTATCAAAGAGTGTTAGCTCTTAAGTGCAATATAAGCTAAATGTTTATTGAGGATAATCCTAGCAACCCCTCAAATGTTGGGCTCGTGCATCTATTGTTTCCTTCCATTTTGCATGAAACTTTGTGTAGATATTGGACATCTTTGATGAATTTTCGACCATTCAAAAAATAATATAAGCATTATTAATATTATGGGCGTATGTTACCTAGCCTTGCAACCTTTCATCGCACCGGATTTTAATTGGCGTCAATATACTTCTCTTTGAATTTAAAGAGAAAATACTCAACATTCACATTACCTATATATCAAGATCATTGTTTATTTTATTTAAATAATAGCGGATATTTTGAGTTGTCACAAATTTTCAATTTTGTAATTTTCAACAGAAGCGTCCCCTCACAGACTAAATAGACGTTTTCCATTTCGCAAGGCCTTTATAAAAGAGGAAGAGATCCGAATCACGTCAATGACAACTCAGCTTCAGTTCACAAGCGCCGGTTTAACAATTGTTTTCTCCTCAATATAATAGATTACTGTAAATCATTATGATACGTCTTCTGGTTTCACAAATATCTGACAAATATTTTTTTAAAGTCGTCAATAGTTCAAGCAGGCTCTCAAAACTGGGAGTACAAATAAGGGGCAGACTGACTCAATGGGAAAACAACTGTCCAGGCTGAATACAAAATACTCGACCACTCCGTGAAATAGTCACAGGTCTAGCAGGAAGTTCTGAGAGAGTTCTCCTTAGAAAATTTGGGAAAAATTTAATTGAATTGGTGCATTTTGGCACTTATTTAAGAGCAAAATATTCAAATCATATTTTTGAATTAGGTTAAAAATAAAGTTGGGGCACACTTGAGGATGCAAATAATTTTGCTAGATTGACCGAATCTAATTTTTTTAACTGTTTTTGAAATAATTGGGGTATGTGTATTTGTAGACATCAGGAAAGTTAAGTTCCAATTTGAGCATATTTACCCCTGTGATCTTGTAGGTATGTGATAGAATTGTATATCAAAAAATAACTTTTAAGCCCAGAGTTAATCCCCCTGTGATCCTGAATAGGCCTACATGAAATATAAAGATCCCTTTTCTCATTCTACCAACCGCAATCTAAAGTGGGCATGACCCACTTTACTATCTTATAGTTAAGTAATTAAGATAAAGTTAACACTCAAAATATCAACTATTTTATTATTTAAAACAAACTGTGACATAATCTACATTCATAACAATTGATATATATTTATATTTATTTAACTAACATGGTAGAAAAACTAAATATTGTCCATACAAACTGATTATATATATCATAGTAGAAAAGCATCAGACAGAATGCATTTAAATCTCAAAATGTTCGTATTTCCAAGAGCTTTAAATAATCCCACCACCCAAACTAAATATCATATTCTTTAAAATGACAATAAAATAAACTATATTCCTCTCCAACTAAATATCATAACTTATAAAATGACATAATTAAATGATATTCAATACTCTTAACTAAATGATATGACAATCTTAAAGTGACAGTATAATATATTATATTCTTCACTATCACATTCCCCAACTAAATATTATAATCTTTAAAGTGACAATATAATATATTATGTTCTTCACTATCATGTTCCCCAACTAAATATTATAATCTTTAAAATGACAATATGATATATTATATTCTTCACTATCACATTCCCCAACTAAATATTATAATCTTTAAAATGACATATTTATATGATATTCAATACCCAAACTAAATGATATGACAATCTTAAAGTGACAGTATGATATATTATATTCTTCACTATCACATTCTCCGACCCAAACTAAATATCATATTCTTTAAAATGACAATAAAATAAACTATATTCCTCTCCAACTAAATATCATAACTTATAAAATGACATAATTAAATGATATGACAATCCTAAAGTATAATATATTATATTATTCACTATAACATTCCCCACCTAAATATTATAATCTTTAAAGAGACAATATGATATATTATATTATTCACTATCACATTCCCCTACTAAATATTATAATCTTAAAGTGACAATATAATATATTATAATCTTCACTATCACATTCCCCAACTAAATATTATAATCTTAAAGTGACAATATAATATATTATATTCTTCACTATCACATTCCCCAACTAAATATTATAATCTTAAAGTGACAATATAATATATTAATATATTATATTCTTCACTATCACATTCCCCAACTAAATATTATAATCTTTAAAGAGACAATACAACATATTATATTCTTCACTATCACATTCCCCAACTAAATATTATAATCTTTAAAGAGACAATATAATATATTATATTCTTCACTATCACATTCCCCAACTAAATATTATAATCTTTAAAGAGACAATACAACATATTATATTCTTCACTATCACATTCCCCAACTAAATATTATAATCTTTAAAGAGACAATATAATATATTATATTCTTCACTATCACATTCCCCAAATAAATATTATAATCTTTAAAGAGACAATACAACATATTATATTCTTCACTATCACATTCCCCAACTAAATATTATAATCTTAAAGTGACAATATAATATATTATATTCTTCACTATCACATTCCCCAACTAAATATTATAATCTTAAAGTGACAATATAATATATTATATTCTTCACTATCACATTCCCCAACTAAATATTATAATCTTAAAGTGACAATATAATATATTATATTCTTCACTATCACATTCCCCAACTAAATATTATAATCTTTAAAGAGACAATACAACATATTATATTCTTCACTATCACATTCCCCAACTAAATATTATAATCTTTAAAGAGACAATATAATATATTATATTATTCACTATCACATTCCCCAACTAAATATTATAATCTTTAAAGAGACAATATAATATATTATATTATTCGCTATCACATTCCCCAACTAAATATTATAATCTTTAAAGAGACAATATAACATATTATATTCTTCACTATCACATTCCCCAACTAAATATTATAATCTTTCAAGAGACAATATAATATATTATATTATTCGCTATCACATTCCCGAACTAAATATGATAATCTTTAAAGTGACAATATAATATATTATATTCTTCACTATCACATTCCCCAACTAAATATTATAATCTTTAAAGAGGCAATATAACATATTATATTCTTCACTATCACATTCCCCAACTAAATATTATAATCTTTAAAGAGACAATATAACATATTATATTCTTCACTATCACATTCCCCAACTAAATATTATAATCTTTCAAGAGACAATATAATATATTATATTATTCGCTATCACATTCCCGAACTAAATATGATAATCTTTAAAGTGACAATATAATATATTATATTCTTCACTATCACATTCCCCAACTAAATATTATAATCTTTAAAGAGGCAATATAACATATTATATTCTTCACTATCACATTCCCCAACTAAATATTATAATCTTCAAGTGACAATATAATATATTATATTATTCGCTATCACATTCCCCAACTAAATATGATAATCTTTAAAGTGACAATATAATATATTATATTCTTCACTATCACATTCCCCAACTAAATATCATAATCTTCAAGTGACAATATAATATATTATATTATTCGCTATCACATTCCCCAACTAAATATGATAATCTTTAAAGTGACAATATTATATAATTGCTAAATTAAAATGATAATATATATTTTATTCTGCATCGACAAACTAAATATTATACTATTCAATTGAAAAATTTGTGACTCAAAAAAAGTAAATTGCCAAAATAATGATGACAGTTTCAAAATATATTTAATTTTTTTTGATTTCTTGAAATTGTTCGACTTTGAAAAATATAGTTTTATGGTTTAAGAATAGTAATCATCAATAGACGAATAAATATAAAATAAAATAAATAAATATGAAATGAAATAGATAAAGTACATTGTATCAATGAAATAATTTTTTACACACACCCTCTAAAGACTCAACGTAATTATCTGAAGATCCCCCCCCCCTCCCAAGACTCCTGTAATAACTTAATCCCTTTACCCCCAAATGACAAAACATAACCCTCTGTCAAAAGCTCCTCCTCCCATGACTCCTTAGCCGACTCAACCCTTTTACCTCCAAAAGACAAAACATAACCCTCTGTAAAAAGCTTTCCCTCCCAAGACTCCTTAACCGGCTTAACCACTTTATCCCCAATAGACAGAACAAAACTCTCTGTAAAAAGCTCCCCCTCCCAAGACTCCTTAACCAACTTAACCCTTTTACCCCCAAAAAGACAAAACATAACCCTCTGAAAAAAACTCCCCCTCCCACGACTCCTTAACCGGCTTAACCCCTTTATCCCCAAAAGACAAAACAAAAACTCTCTGTAAAAAGTTAAGACAAAACAAAACTCTCTGTATATAATTCATTTGCCCAGTTCACTACTTTGATTGCATCTAAAAGAGAAGGTAATCAATAGTTAGTGGTGTGTAGAAGAAATTAGGCTTGAAATTCTTAACATAGTCGAATACAGGTCCCGAACTATGATTTTCCACCGGAAGTAGTTTTGTAGATTTCATAACTACCAATACTAAATCTAACTATCTATCTATTACAGTAAATGATTGTAAATAATATAAAATACGTACTAGTAGATCTGCTGGTAGATTTTCTAACCATGTTGTTAATCAAGTTATCGTCTGAAATAATAATAATTTTAACACTTGTATATTACTTGATACTGTAATATAACGTAATATAAAATATTAGTATATACATATACTGATACTGCAATATAATATTGCAAAAACTTTAAAAAAACTAATAAAATACCTTTAGTTGGTCTTGCATAATCTTCATTTAGAACCAAACAGTCAACCAAAGCTTTCTAATCTAACAAAAAATTAAAAGATTAAAAATCAGTTCTAGAAGTATAGAAAGTCAATGAGTCTTTTATATCACCGAAACTTTGTTAATCTGATTTCTGAATTAATAATTATTTAAGAAAAAAATGACAGAACTATAAGCCTTCAAACTTATTCACATCGGCTAAAAAATTTTTCAACATTTGGTTTCGCTTAAATCTGATATTATAATTAATTGAAACGAAATAAAGATCTACTTACAATGCTGCCATTTCAAAACTAGTGATGATAATACCAATGTAATTCTTTGAAAAATTCAAAAAACTTGCAGAGCAAATTGCCAAGCTTTCGTTTCTAAAGAAATGTCAGCGCTTTGTGGCAAATTATACATATTCAATTATGACGTCATAATCGATTTTCGTTTAAGATTAAGAGTTTTTGATTGGCTTAGTTAAAATTGAAACAATAGATTACTACTAAGAATTAATTTAATTTTAAATTGTGGAATGTTTGTATTCGTGTCTACATAAAATTTATTCCAATCTACAAAAATAAATCAGAATGAAGACTTCATTTTTGTGCTGAATCCGGAGACTACTATGGTGTAAATTATTGTCTAATAAAATTGTATTCTATCACATAATGTTACATTTACAATAATAATACATTGCTCAATACATCAATTGTAGAGCGATATAGAAATATTAAAACTTAACCTAAAAAAACATGTTGTTACTCAGAGTTTCACACTATGCGATCTTCAGACAACTGACCAATTTTCAGTCTGCGTCTCTACTGCAGTTGGAAATGTAGAACTTAGAGAATATTGTGAAGATCGCCACTGCCCTTCATCTCAAAGACTTCCCACATAACATTTAATTCAGTTCACATATATATGCAAAACTCTCTAGACAACCGGTTGCAAGCCATTCATAATTTTCATTCTTATCCATTACAGCACATGTTTGTAAAAGCATTGGTAGACGACTCCAATTTTCATAGTCCAAACGAGTACCGTCGGCCCATCCCCATCCAAGTAGACGGGCGAAGAGTCCGATATAAAATTTCTCTTCGTTTTGACCTGAAATAACAAATTTATTTGAGTTGTGTTGTACTCACACTGGGTAAGTAGTAAGTTAAAATAATCAAATAACTTGATCTTAATCATGTCCGCAGTGCTTGATACCTTGACACCATTAGCCACTTGTCTTATCACAGAAGTTCTTAAATGCATAGATTAGATTGGATTAGAATGTCATGCCAGAGGCCGCCTTTGAAAATTTCAATTTTTTTTTATTATCATTTTACATAAGGAAAGAATGGCCTGTGCCCATCCCTGGTAAATTTTGTGGCCCCTGCTCGCTCCCCCTAACCTAATGTTTCCTATAAACGCAACTGTATCCCAGGGCCAGATTTTTCTGAGTAACCAATTTTCAACGATAATCTACTATACGTGACGTGATGTCCCGTGTATTTTCCAATCACTGGATGATAAAAAAAAATACCTATATCAATGATATAGTCTTTGACAGCATTGTGTTTCCCAGCTGTGTCTAATTTGACCAATTCTCCGCCCATATGATGACAATTTGCGCTTGCAACGAATATGTTTTTGGTTTGAGGTCCAATATAAATAGACATATCAACTGATGGTAAAAGTGTAAACGTTGGTCCAGAAGTAGTTTGTTCTTGTGGGTATAGAGTTGTACCACCTGAAAAAGAATAAAAAGCATTCTAAAGATCGAACTCAATCTCATTAAAGGCCGACAAATTACTACCTAAATACGCCACTGTCCACACACATGTGAACTGCGGTATTCCAGAGAAATTGACACTTGAGTTATTTAGCTTTTCCATCATGGTATAGGATTTATAATAAAATACAATAAATATATACCAATAGAGCTGAAGTTTCCATTTGATGAACAACATGGTGATGATGGTGGAGCTTCCTGAAATAAAGTTATAAAATTATAAAATTATGATTATTCAATTCTTTGATGATTTCCACATAGTGAATTTAATATAAACATAATAATATATATTACATAAATATATCATACCGAAGAGCGTAAATGTTTTTTGAAAGGCTCAGTCCCTTTTTTAGCTTTTGGCAAGAAGTAAATCCCATACTATTCAGCAAAATCAACCTGGGCATCTCTCGCTGAATATGAATCGCTGAAAAGGAAGGAGCTAACCATGTACCCTTCCTTTCCAGTGCAACCTCCAAAAAGCAACGACACGCAACTCATTTATGTCATTAGGGTTGCCAGAAGCAATGGACGTTCAATGGACGCAAAGGGTCACCCAAGGAAGACAAACAAGTCTTGTGAATTAAATGAAACATTGCATTACTTATGATCTGGTGTTCTACTACAATGTTTGTATATACCAATTTCGGAAATCATCGATGTTTTTGTTCATGACATTGTCTGAACATCGTTTGAACAGACTTGGAACGGCAAAGGCAACCTTCCTATGTGACATAAAATTCCCATTTTACCAAACCAGTTATTTTACCAAACGTTTCAATTATGCCATCATCCAAACAACATTACTGGCAAACGTGATTTCAATGGGTTTTCGGTGAATGGTTAGGAAAGTGTAACAGAAACCAGGTTGATCCTTTAAAGTCACTGTCCTCAACCAACTCCACGGTTCAACATATCCAATATTCTCTTCTGTACAAGTTTTCAAAGAAATGAAATATAAAATAATTACCGTATATAGCTGCATATAGATTAAATCACCACAAGATAACGTGTTTTCCAGTATCAAGAGGTCGCTTTTCAATTGACAATAGTGAGTAGATTTGTCAAAAATAACAGATTCACATAGGGGATATTGAAAACATGCTGTTAAACAATTAAGAAAACTCCTGGTATATAGAATTGATATAGTATATTCTATACCGACATGAGATCCATCAATTTTACATATATTTTTAGCTAAATAGATTTGTTGTACTCCATAGGCATATCTCTGTTGAATGAAAAGTCCAAAAATGAATATCCAAACGTTATGCATGTTGGCACGGAAAAGCTTGTGTGTATTAAATCTTTGCTGACCGTCAATTACCAACACTGCTGCTCTAATCGCCGGCGAAAATAATTATAATTTATCCCAGAGGAACACAATCGACTAACCATTGGTTTTACCAGTTGGTCGAGTCCAATTTCAGTCATCCATATCACTCTTCATAATTGAATTAAGAACAATGCACTTGGTCAATTTAAACTGTCGTCACTTCCAGGGCACTTCCCAAGTACAGATCACATAAATGACAATTTGTACTCCCAGAGATGGATCTGTTAAGCTAACAACAATGAAAGAAAAAGAATATCAGTAGATTTCGTCAATCGCACTGCATTTTCCAAATTGAAATATTACAAAAATTATTAACAAACCAATTCTTTTTCTTTTCTATTGTCAAAGTAATTAAGCAAAAATTGAATGTTTTCACATCAAACTTCTGAAATCAAATTAACTTTTGCCTTCTTGCCCAAAAATAGAATAGAAAAAAGCCATCGAACACTATCACATAATATAGACGGGTTTCCAATTACGTACATACTAATATCAGGTTCATGTACAATGTAAACATGTCCAATGAGCTACGTCTGTAAAGTAAACTGAGTACTACAAGCTGTATCGGGAGATAAGAGCCATGTTGATTTGACAAATTATTCCATTCAACTTCAGAAAGTAATCAGTCATAATATTTCTATACAATTCTTTGTTTATTCACCAACATGGAAATCAAACTATAGATTTTAGTACTTCACACAACAAACAGTATACTTTTATTGAAATTCACCTGTAAATATTCCTACTCCACTGTTTGATGTTTTTTTTTTATTAAAGTTTATTCTATTGCAACATCATCATTTTTCCTTAACAACATCATCATTTCAATCTATAAACATTATCGTTTCTCTCTATTTACATCATCATATCTCTCTTTAAACATCATTATTTATATCTTTTAACAGCATAATTTCTCTCTTTTAACGTAACCATTTTTCTATATTAACATCATCGTTTCTGTCTATTAATTTTGTTGACCATATCATTTTTTTTATAGAAGCATTATTATTATCTATAAACATAATAATTTCTCCCAATTATCATCACCATTTTTCTATATTAACATCACCATTTTTTTTTTATATTAACATCATCATTTTTCTATATTAACATCAACATTTCTCTTTATCAACTTCATTATTTCTATCTATAAATATCATCATTTCTCTGTATAAATACCACAATTTCTCTGTATTAACATGACCATTTCTCTGCATTATAATCATCATTTCTCTGTATAAACATCATCATTTTTCTGTATAAACATCAGCATTTCTCTGTATAAACGCCATCATCTATGTATCAACATAGCCATTTCTCTGTATAAAAATCATCATTTCTCTGTATTAACATCACCATTTCTCTGTATAAACATCATAATTCTCTTTATTAACATCATCATTTCTTTGTATTAACATAATCATTTCTCTGTATAAGCATCATCATTTCTCTGTATTATCATCATCATTTCTCTGTATAAACATCAGCATTTCTCTGTATAAACATAGCATTTTATCTATGAACATCATGATTCTCTGTATTAACATCAACATTTCTCTTTATCAACTTCATTATTTCTATCTATAAATATCATCATTTCTCTGTATAAATACCACAATTTCTCTGTATTAACATGACCATTTCTCTGCATTATAATCATCATTTCTCTGTATAAACATCATCATTTTTCTGTATAAACATCAGCATTTCTCTGTATAAACGCCATCATCTATGTATCAACATAGCCATTTCTCTGTATAAAAATCATCATTTCTCTGTATTAACATCACCATTTCTCTGTATAAACATCATAATTCTCTTTATTAACATCATCATTTCTTTGTATTAACATCATCATTTCTTTGTATTAACATAATCATTTCTCTGTATAAGCATCATCATTTCTCTGTATTATCATCATCATTTCTCTGTATAAACATCAGCATTTCTCTGTATAAACATAAGCATTTTATCTATGAACATCATGATTCTCTGTGTTAACATCATCATTTCTCTATATTAACATCATAATTTTTCTCTAACAACGTCATTATTTCTATCTATCAACATCAACATTTCTCTGTATAAAAATAATTTTGTTTCTATTGACATCAACATTTCTCTGTATAAAAATAATCTTGTTTCTATTGACATCATCATTTCTATCATTTCTATCCATTAATATAATCAATTTCTGTCTACATGCATTAATTTCATCATTTCCCTTTCTTTGCATCATCATCTAGTGACATTGATTTTTTCTCTATAAACATCATCATTTATATTCATTAACATCATCAATGTTGGCTATAATTTCTATCTTAACTATTGTTTTTCTCAATCATCATCAACATTCCTCTCTATTAACATCGTCATTTTCTCATACAGTATGACTATTCTCTAATGGCATTTCTTTCTTTAACATCTTTTTCTATAAACATAGCCATGTGCCTCTTTAAACTAAATTATTGCGTATTTTGCTAGCTATTCGATCCCGGAACTTCATCAGCCGTATTCTATTAAAGAAAAAATCCACTAACATTTGTCTTCACAATGTGATATGATAAATAATGATATTTCATTGTTTTAAAGCTGATATTTAATAGTTCAATAATGATATATATTTAATAGACCGGAATGTTATCATCACATTACTACAGTCAAAGTGTTTATTTTCGTGTAATTAAAAAAAAGTTTAAAGAATAACTATTTGATGTAGTTTGGGATGAATCCAGGACAGAATGGTTATTTCAAATTTACTATATAGAGACTATTTGGTAGCCATCAAAATTCCTTTAATATAAAACTTTGTTGCCCCAATCATATCTTGTAGGCAAGAACTTATATTTTCTGTTGATTAATAACTCTTTTCTCGAATTGAATTTATTATTAAATGATGATATAACAAAATATTAAAACTCATTTACAAGAAAAACCTAATTAGAATATATTGACTAATAAGAAATTTGCGGCAATCCCAAAAATGTGTTGATTCCCCATAAGGCTATAAATGTCCGCCACGCTATCTGGTGGAACATAACTCCTGCTTATTATAGCAGACGTAAGAGCCATGGGCGTAGGAGACGGGGGCAGATGGCAGAAAAAACCTCGGGCAGATAAGTTGTGTTTTCGGGTGATGCTCTAAAAACAATTAAGTTCTGAAAGAAAATCCGGCGAAGAATTTTCGGGCTAACCGGCCTGTCCGAGCACCTTGGCTTCCCTTTTGAATTATATAGGGTACTAGTCGAGGTATGGGGTCACGTAGGAGGGTGGGGAATGCATCTAACGGGATTTTGGCAGTGAAAATATAATAAAATCACACATAAATTCGCCACTGTCTGGTAAATTTCAAATTGATATGATTAATCAGAAGAATTGAGATGACTAGCTGATAACAAAGGACTTGAGGCAATATGGCAAAAATAATGAAAAAAAAAAATAAATAATAAAAACATAGGTTATCACTCTAATCCTTTTTTTAGAAGTAGTATATAGAATATTTATTTTACTGTATATAAAATAAATGACATGGGATATAAATAACAATAAATATACAAATGGACGAATAATTTGCCCGTGATATAAACAAAAGAAACGTTTACGCTAGGATAAGCTTGATTGACTTGTAAACATAATATAGAGAATGGATGTAAACTACCTTCTCACCCCATGTAAAGGTGGAAAGATGCCAAGAAAGAACGCTCATAGTCCATACATTTGATTTCTCAATATTTAGTGTCCATTCTTTATTTTGTCTTCAGGACAAATGCAGTACGTAAATGGTTGCTATTAATGACAGTTTTGACACATGCGTCAATTACATTTGGGAATGGAAGTTTGTCTGGTAATGTTTCTGCGCCTGCTCGCAGAGGATCAAAACTGAGCATTGTTTCACATTCAGAATCATTTCTTTTCTTTCCGCCAATGATAATAGCTTTTCCACATAACTGGACTGCACCGAAATGAACTCGACCGAAGTTCTCAATTTTACCCACAGTTCGACAACCTGCGTCTTCTGAAAATTCTATGACGTCACCATCAGTGGTTATAATGTAGACCTGACCATCACAGACTACTGTTCTAGTCAGTCGACAAGCAAATGGGAGATCTGCAAAAAGTGTGGCTTGGCCGATTCTTGTATCAAAGTATTGTATTGCTGGTGTATTTCGGTTGTTTCTTTGTGCCCCTCCAAAGGTAAAGATCTTCTCACCAATAACAGCAGCAGACACCATCTCGACAGGGACAGGTAACTCTCCAGCCATCGTCCATTTACCAGTATTAATGTTGTACTTCTCAATTGTATTTAAAACTTTATTACCTTGAGGAAGATTTCTGTTGTAGCCACCCAATACGTAGATTGAATCTCTAGCGGCAACCATACCATGCCGAGAACGTCCTTGGGCCATTTGCTCACATTCTCTCCAATCGTTGCTTTCACTGTTATATTTCAACATCTTCGGCCATTTACGACTTCCTCCAGATAAATAGATGTTATTGGCGTATGTGGTTGCAGAAAATTCTACTCCGGGATCATAAGGAAGAGGAGCCAAGTAAAACCATTTTTTCTGTCGGTTGCTGAAACATATGATTTCGGTTGGTTTCATCTGAGTTGATCCACCAGTAATAACCACGATAACTTCTTCTAAGTCGTAGCTGTTCCTGAAGGATGATCGTTTGGAAGTAAATTCCTGACGTCTTGAAGGTAGCATGTGGTACCTTTTAGCTTCTTCCATCATCATCCTGCAAATCATATCTTCCTTCAATAAACCTTTCGACTGACTGATAGTGAGAAGGTACTCTGGACTCACTAACGGGAATCGAAGATGTTCAATGATAGAGCTGAGGTGAACATTTCTGCTGTCAGGATCCATGGCAATCCATTTAAAGACTGACTCACAGACTAACTCTTCATTGGGCACCACTAAATCATCATCTTTAATAATAGAAATTAGTTCATCAACATCGACATCTTTAAAATCTTCAGATTTGATGAGTTCCAGATAGTTATCTAAGATCAATGGCCATGCTCTCTCTTCCAACTCTTCACAACCATGTGTTCTCCCTAATCGCCACATTCTAATACAGTTGCTTGGTGTGAGATTATCTGATAAATATATTGCACATCTATCAATTAACCCCTTAACTTGTAGCGTGGTAGCTGCCCGTAAAAGACTCTCGGCATTCTCATCACAGACTACGTCACGTCCCGTGTAGATGAAGGTAAGGATGCTGTCGAAGGTGGTGACGTCAATATTAAGAAGAGTCAGGACACCATCTGGATTATCTCTCATACCAGTGGAGTAAGTAGCATCAAAATGAGGTGACATAGCAGACAAGACAGCTCGATGGCATCGGAATCTTTTATTCTGGACAACTATAGTGGTGTCGGAGAAGTGCCCGCTGTTCCATAAATACTTGACACCTTCTGAAATGGTCTCCAGATACTTCTGGTGCCAGTTACTCATCTTGAATTCTTAGGACGTAAACCTAAAATAAACATATTGATAGTTGTATTAAACTTTTGATTGATATCTGACACCCCTTCCATTTGGGTAGAGCTCTACCTAAACTTAAACAAGATTGAGTCGTATTATATGTGGTGGAATCCTTTAAGGCTGTTGAGAATCTATTTTACTATCATATACAAATTTCCTGCCCTCATATTTCAAACAAACAGTAATTTAGTCCAGAGAACAATTAAAGCGATCAATAATATAAAATCTAGAATGATACATTAGACTAATGATTAGACATTACTCAGAGACAATATGTTGACTTTATCATATTATTACATTATAAATAAATAACGCACCATATCATTTGTTAATTGCCAATGACCATAAAATAACATGAATTCCTTTGGGAATTGGATTTTTGCTACAAAAAATACTAACTACATCATATGAAGTTGAAGACAGAAGTTTTTTAGTCTCTGCCCTTATCGAACTCTTATAAATACTTCCTATAGAATGTTCAATACAAATATATATATATATCTACCTCTTGAGTTATATTGAAATCCAAGTGCAGTTCAATTGATATTCAAGGCACCCTTACTCTGTGTAGTGTGTCTCTACTATTTGAATGATTCTGTTCTAGGCTTTGGTTAATCTATCCTTTCAGTTTTCTGTTACCAATGGTGAGTTGCTGGTCACGTGAAGATAAGTAGATTACCAGGATTATCAAATAACTTTCTATTGAAGATTAACGTAGTTAACCCTTTATTCCATATTCATTGGGTAATCGGTTAAAAAGGTTAATCTAACGCACCTACACCAGACCAATCATTTAATTGATTCTATTGTGATTTTAATCAAAGAAGTGCTCTTGTCACGCAATTGGGAGATTCTGATCAATCGCTGCACCATCCAATCACAAAATCGAAGATGCCTACAGTGGCTTAAGTAGCGCTTGTCTACTTTTTAGAAACTAGGTGTGTCCAGTAGCTCTAAGATTTATCGATTTATGTTTCTGAATTCAATTTCTTTTATATGTATCGTAATAGTGTTGATATTCATAACTTTAAGATATGAATGATAAAAAGACAAGGTAACCTTACAGCCAGCCACTGGCAGATTTATTTGAAAAATGATATTTGGCAGAACAGCAACCAATGCCAGCTTCGGTGATATTGTTTTTCAGGACTGTTGTAGTAATCGTCAAGGTTCTTGCTTTCCGCTTTTTGTAAAACATTTTCATTATCAAATAACGCCGTAAATTATAGCTGAAAATATTTCTACAATATGTTATTTACATCAATGTATTTACTTGATCAAATTGAATCCGTTTTAAAAGAGTTAATTAAAAACTGAGAATACTAATTGTTAAATAAGCAGTTTGAACAAGTTTTGGTGTTTGGCTTTATAATGGCTCGATATTATTTGTGGAAATCTTTAAATACTTAGGAGACATAATATTTCTCTACAATTAGGAGTTTTTTTTACTTAAATCCACGCAGTAGTTTTCAATACCTGCCCAAAAGCATAACGAACTTTAAAAGTTTACGTAAACTTACGTAATGTTTTTAAATAGTTTTGGCGTTAAAAGATAAATGGCTGGATTTTTTTTTTATTTCAGATACGTTAAGGGACACATTTCTCTAGATTTTGGTGTATGGTTTTCACAAATTTGAGCAAAACAAATTTTCGACGCAGTAAAAAAGCGGAATGTCCCTTTAAGAGATAATTGATAATACATGTAACATACAAAATAGAATAGTCATGGGATCTCACAACCCAATGGTAACATAAGAAACATCAATGACTGAGCGCTTTAAGTGTTTAAAACCTGTAAATTAAGCACATTTCGAAGAACAAGCTCAATCTTCTTGAATTTCCATAAGATAGATTCAATTTGCACCCTTTCAATTTTCAACCAGACGTCTGTGGTTCCCGCGTTTTGTGACGTCACTAATTTCGAAGTCCTTATGTGATACAGTATATTATTTTGCCATTAGTGACGTCATGAAACGCTTACTTTAAGTAGAATTACAAGAATCACAGACGTCTGTTTGAAAATTGGAATGGTGTAAATTGATGTACATACAATTTTTAAAACACTTCTTTACAATCCCTCTAATATAAACCACTTCACTATGTTTCGTCAAAATCCGTGATGTGATAATGGATTGCCTGCTGTGGAATAGGTCTCGAGCAATAATTTTATTATGGAGAGAGTTATTACCTCCCTTAAATTCGAAACTTCTTTGTACGTTTGAGCATGTTGTGCATTTTTGCAATGGGACTTTTATGGAACAATTATTTTTCAGTTTGAATCCAGTCTCCTTCAATTAATGTAAACTTTGGGGAATGAATGTTGAGGATGACTTGGCTATCTTTGCAGATGCAGGACACCCGACAAGACAAATGCCATTCTTTTCATGAAAGCCTCTCTTTGGAGAGCTTAATTCTGTTTTTCTCAATTTGTTTACTGCTTGCAGAATAAAACTATAACATGTTTGTAAGATACTATTTGACAACTCATTCCATATTTATTAGTTTGTATTGTGTACATTTTATGCACTCATATCATAATATGATAACATTGATAACATCATAACAAGAAAACAATAACAAGAAAACTCAATAACAATTATCATCTATAACAATTAATAACTTTATAATGAAGAAATCAGCACTACTTGGAAACTATTATTCTATTGTCATAGATTCGTTTGAACTTCTAGAATAATGATACGCCTGCTCTTACATCATTATATCACCTTGGCATAGAAAAATTCTACCATCTCTTCAATCTACATTGACCAAATAGAGCAAAACATAGACAAAAAATAAAAATGTATGCTACAAAAACGGAGATAATTGCCTCAAATGCGAGGGTTAGTACAAAAATTCATCCCAGCCTATTTGATAAAGAAATATATTTTTCTGCCCTACACTACATTCAAGAGCGAGTTTGAGGAGTTCGTATATCATCCCTACCTTCATCTATTGCCTAATATAACAGAACGAAATGCTATGCCAAACGAGTTGGGGTCATTTTTAAACGTTTTCAGAAAAATTGTAAACACAAAATGCTCGACAAAATAACCGATTTCTTTGCCTAAATAATTCTGTGTTTTTTTCTTATTTGTATTGCTTGCATTTCTAAACGCAAATTGGGGTCGAAATCAATTTGTTTTGCACCGGCTCCGATTATAAGGCTATGATACAATTTGTACAGGCATATTGACCACAAATCCTTGGTCGTGTTCATGTAGAAAGAACCGATATATCTTTACATTTAGGTTAACTTTGGGGAAAAGGTTCATGATTTGCGAATAGGCCACTGAACGACGATAACTAACAAAACATATAATAACGATACAATATAATATGATTACTTTTATATGGAGACCATATTGATAACAATTAATATAAAAAAAATTATGCTGAATGAAGAAATCAGTAGTTGATCACTTACTTTATGGCACTTATCTAAGTCTTACTCGTGACTCAAATATTTCAAATAACACAGTTTGATCTCTTAAAATATTACGTTTGAATAATGTACATGCAAAAATACGTTTTCTCCAAAAAATTTACCCAATGAGGTCATAAGTGAAAGCCGAATGTCGCACCTTGATGACTGATACATTTTGATAATGCTGACTTTGGAAATAATAATCAATTTAACAATAACGACAATATAAACACCCCTAGATAACTTAGGTAGGTATTTCAAATAGTCAAACAATATAATCTAAGAAATTTAAAAACTGTTTTTTTGATATATAACGTTTGTTAATGCTGCATCTTTAATATTAGTATGATACCTATTGCTTATTGCAACCCAACATCACGTACATAATTAATCGATTTTCAACCATTAAAACGTTATAAATATACTATCATTATTTATTTATTGTCTCCAAAATTAGTTTTGAAATGTCATTGTACTACGAATGCAATATACTGCTGGATAACGTTATCATTACAATGTATTACGACTCTATAAATGTAACATGTTGGAAATTTGACTTTTGAACGATGTCATAGATTACATTTATTACTGTCATTTAAAAATTGATCGATAATAAATGCGAAACTAATACTGTATTGCCGTCAGATTTTATTTCCTGATATGAAATAGCTAAAGGAAGTAAAGGAATAAGCCTGCATGAAAAAGCCTATTTTTATCAGATTATTAAGCTGTTACGGAACATGAAGACCGTGTTCAAAATAGTCAGTATTATTAGAAAGTAATATTCAAAAGAGGTCCTCTAGTCCCTGTATGTGTATGAGGAATTGTTGGGCTTTTCAACGACGTCAATATCACCCACAACAAGGTCAGAAAACATCTTTTGAGTATGATTTTCTGGTCACTGCTGGTCTCAATTTGTTTTTATACCATTTCTCATTATCCATTAAAATTATCATATAGGAAAGCATTAGATCTATACCACTTCAGTTGTTTGTTTACTACATAATAAACCACATAAATTCCAATATGTGCTCAATAAATAACAACAACAATACTCTCACAGACTTGTGGAACAATAAATATTTAAGATGAAACAACTGGTAAAGGACTGACTGACAAAATATTCACTTCTCTATCCTTTCTCTCCTCAATGCTACAATTAGTCGCGTTTTGTCCAGTCTCTTCTACCGCTATAGGTGACTTAGAGTTACCTCCCATATAGGTGTCAAGGTCACTCTTGCTTCCAACGCTCAGTACAGGAGACTCGTATCCATCACGTGGTGATTCTACATCATGGTTGTTGAGTGTAGGAGGTGAACATATAGAAGCTTTAGGTAATGTTGACTTGTTGTCCAAGTTCATCATACCAAGACCAGGTTGTAACGGATAAGGATGAAAGGGAGACATGAAGCGCCACATATTGAACAGTTGTGATTGATACTGCAGTGCTAATTCGTTGTGCTGAAATAAACAAATAAGGTATTTGAGACACTGAGTCATTGGTTTTGAAAACAGTGTCGAGAAATTGGGTTGACGTTACAATATTGGTTAGTAAAAGGATCCAACCCAGGATTAGTTAATATATATAGAAATTTAAGATGGTGCAGGGTGCGTGCCGCTTTAAAAACATGGTCAATGCTTAAAGGTACAGACGCGGCATTTCGGCGGTTGATTTGGGCCTTGAATATATGTCAATAGTCTTTAGAACCACTAATATTGTACGAAAATCGCACAATTCCTTCAAATAGACCTCAAACAAGAAATTTAACTTTTTTTATTTATAAGGGTCACATTCTTATCTTCCATCTAAAAAATTGGGGTATCAGAAACTTGAATGTCTGGTTGATATAGTCTCTGACAAACTGAAACGAAGACATTTTCCGTCGCAGCTGTCCGTAGACGAAATGGAACATTTCATTGTTCCGACATTCAAATATTCAAGTCTGTTAAATGGACAATTCGATGAGATCACATTCAAACATAGATATTTATAGGTACACTTGGATTTACGGCTCAAATATTTATGGTAAGCTGTGAACACTATTACTGATTAGATTAGCGGAACACTTCACGTTTCTGAAACTAAGGTATGATTTACTCCTGGAAAAACTGGCTTCTGCCCCTTTAAGATAAAAAAAAGTCTACTTACTTGAGCGGCAATTGGATTATAACTTAACAATGGATTATTGATGGTGTAAGGTGAGTGTTTGATATCTTCATCGCGGAAACTAACAGGTAAATAATCATCTTTATCATTGTCTAGAAATTTACTGCTTCTCATTATCATCTGAAATTGTCAAGACGTAGATTAATATTAATATTTATTATGATTCTGTCATTACAAAAATATCACTGATAAAATAGTGCTCAATACACTATAGTTTGTCATGATACACACTGGCAGATATGAGTAACTGCAACGACACTATCTGTTTAGTTAATTGAATAGCCCTAAACCCGCTCAGTTACTCGTTTGTGTGAAAATAGATATTCAATTATTTGATAAAAGATTTAGTGTTTTTACCTGCTTGTCTGATTGGTTCACAAAATCAACTCCGTAGAATACAGTAGTACTGCTGGTTAAGGTAGACAAAAAACACTTTATTTCTGAGAATGATTAAATAAGACTACACCAGAGAGCAAACATGAAGACTTTAAAAAGAATGAAGACAAAATGAAAAATAAGCTAGACATCAGACAATTATATATTTCAAAGGATATGTCTTATATTTCCCCTTTCTTTTCATCTGTACATCAGGAAATAAAATTCTAACAGCTCGATTACACTGGACTCCCCAATGAATTATTTCCCTTTCTTCCATCTTCTGTGCCAAAAGTTCAAGGACATCGTCACGAGATATACCAGCTACTTGGTTTCCGGTCCATTTAATCAAAGCTACAAGAACAAATAACTGTTTTCGAAAGAGTAATGAATCTGAAGGTGTTAAATATCTATTCACGAAATAAATAGTTTAATAAGTTCAATTTATTGCTGAACAGTCTAACCCAGACCGATAGCCTAATTCAACAGACGTCTGGTAGAAATCGATCTTGTTGTTACAAGACTTTTATTAAATAACATCATGGACCTCGTGTAGCTATGCAGTTCCATATATACAGATCGACAATGCATTCGACACGATGGAAAGAAAGTTATGTTAAGGATCAACATCTCATCATCTTTTGTCGACATGAAACGAAATAGTCGTAACCTAATATGTCTGTGAACTAACGAAAATCACGTTGAATTCATTGGAAGAGTGATGTACTTAGCTTACTCGGTAAATGTTCGAGAATCTTCTCTAAATCGTTTGACATATCTCTTAATGGTTGATAATTCAATTCACTATCGCTGAGTTCATCTTGTTCCTGTACCTGATCTATGAATGATACGCCGAAGAAATAAGTCGTAACAAGTGGTTAAGGCAAAATAATAACACTTGCTGCCAAATCAACTTAATTAAGTGTTATTATATTTGGACTTCACATTCATAATTATAAGATAAATGCACACATGACTGTATTGCAATAAAAAAGAAAAAAAAGAAAACGTAGTATTCTTATACTGGTGGTCTCAAGGCAAACATGTTATATGGGAGTAACTTCAAATCACTTATCAATTATTAGAAATTATTATGCAAAGGATATTTCTTAAACTTTCCCTTCCTCTGTGCTAAGGAGTTTGGGAATTCTTCTCGAACAGCTTTATTACAAGATGGACCCCATCTCACAACTTCGGGCATATTCAATGTTAAACTAACTTTATGTAGTAACAAATCTCTTGACACGTTTCCTTTCGGACAACTGACCAGTGTGTCTGAAAAATAAAGTTTGATATTTACTGGAGTTTATCTTTGATAGCTTAACGTTTAACGTCACCAATGATTGAAAAACTATTTTTTTTTTAAATGGAGCAAGATCATAAACCTTGAGAGAACGAGTTTTCCTTCTTCCGGAACAGCAGCAGACGTTGTGTTTAATTATTTGGACATATGCAAACTGAAACACAAGGTATTCAAATTTGTGACGATATCGAAAAAAAATGAAAACAGTGAAACCAGAAACTAAAAATGATATAAATGATTTGGTGCATGAGGCTGTGCTTCGCTTAACTCTGAGTAACAACTAACTTCATGATCTATATCATCTCAAAGTAAACAAGATAGAGAAAATGATAATAATGAAGAAAATCAGCCTACCTGGTAAAGTTTCTTTAATTTTCATCATCTTCCACCATTCGTTATTCTGACTTCCTTTTCCATCGGCCATTGATAAATCCGGTGTATCGATATCATGTTCAGTCCTAAAGTGATCTTTATAATCTGACGCTCCAGCACAATATACATTACAAAATGTACATCTAAACTGTATATCTAGATTCTCCTCTCTAGATTCGGGAAGAAGACCTGTACTACCAGTGGGAAACAATGGAAGATTTAAAGATGCGTCCTTATCTCTACTTTCTGCTTCAATCTTAGTAACCTTCTCTTCATTGTCCAATATTGATCCAATACTATGTTGCTTAGGGGATGAGTATCTGGAAAAGTAATCATCCATTGGAATCATTGATGGGTAGTGACTTAAAAATGGATTAATGACTTTCTTAGGTAAAGGTTCAATTATAGTATCTGGTCGTTTACGTTTTCTACTAGAATCGTCTTCTGATTCAGAATCTACCCAATCATCACCATCGGCCGAGCTTCTTCTCACTGGAAAAGGTCTTTTTCTTTTATTACGAATCTCAAGCTTGTCAATATCGTTCTGTTTTTCGTTGATATCGCCCTGTTTTAATAGTTGTTTCGTTGAATCGGATTCTGTTGGCAAAACTTTGTTAAAAGTTGGAACTTTTGGCACATTAATGATTGGTAATTTAACCGAATTGGCGTTATTACTGCTTGCATTGCTGCTGTTGGTTGCCTGTTGTTTGTTAAGATTATCTCTATAATCAATAGCTTTTCTTATGGCTGCCTTCACGTTATTTGGTTCTGATTTCTGTTTACATTTATCAAAATTATTTTGATCTGCCAAACGAGCTTTAGTATGATGCTGCTGTCCATTACAATGAACTCCAAATGCTGCCTTAACTTGACATTTCCAATTACAAACTTGACAAAAATAAACAATATTACCACCTTCCCGTACCAGTTTTGTGTAGCGTCCAAACTCGGGAGTAAAACTTGGTGGAAGATCACATAGCCATCCATTCTGTGCCGTTGTCGATGGTGAAGATGGTGATTTTTTGCTGGTATTTATTGACGTAGACGTTGATTTACTTCTGTCTGTATGGTTCGATCCTCCGATATGAGAGTTTGTTTGCTTACCAGGTAATGAAAGATTATCACATGATTTTAAAAACTGCTCAGTAACCTTCTGAATTTGAGTTGGAACCGGTGTTGTCGGCTTACTACTACTTGTACTTGGCGTTGATTTCGTTTCTTCTGTAGATTTGGGGTCGGTTGCTGACGATTTCGGAGAATTCTGCCACAATTTACTATACTTTAACAAATGTTCGCTAGTAATACGACCAATATTGGTACAAGAAGCGTCATCTGAAGAAGAGCCGTCAATAGTTTTGGTCATTTCTACTGGATGACAGTTGCCATTAGTGACAGGTTTCAATAATATATCCTTATAAATATCTGAATGCTGATTCTTCATATGAAATATAAAACTTTCCACACTCGCCATATAACAAGGTGAAACCTTACACAGTTTACATTTATAACATATTTCAGCATAACTCGATAATATGGAGTCTTTAAGTCTACTATCACCAGATCTTCTCTTACTACATTTAAATACATTTTTCTTCAATAGACTCTTGCCTTTACCCAATACCTTTAGTCTAGCCTTATAGTCGTCATCACTCGAATAAGAATCAAGATTTAGCTCTGAATTATTCATGCCATACGTTGACAAACTGCTGAAATAACTATTAGGTAGAGTGTCACTTCTCTTTGGACCGTACTTCGGAAACCCGTCTGTCGAGTCATCAGAATCACTTGTTGGTTTTGAAAATTGCAATGCCTTTAAATAATTATAATTTGTAGGTGATATTGAGGAGTTTGATGTTACATCTCTCGATTCTGACGTGCTTTGTTCATTATGCTGGATTGGTTTAGGCTGCTGATTTGATGTACTTGATTTGGAGGTATCTCCTTCACTTTCTTTGTCATCGACTGCAGGAGATGCGGGCAGTTTCGGCGAAAAACTCATCATGATTGTTATATACAGCAATGGTGTTATCTAAAATTATAGAAATTAGCAAATTACATTTCATACCCAGTGTATGGGATGTTTAGATATATACCTCAGTTGTTTTTTCATGGTTGCGATTTTTGATGTGGGTTAGTGTATATTTTATAATTATGTGATAATGTGTATCATTAAAATCATGTTGTTTATAGTGTTCATTATCAAGTGTGAATTTCACATATCAACAATTGGATATGGTGCATTTTATCAAGTTCTGATACTGCCAATATCAATATATATATGCGTATTATTTATTAAAGTTTACGAAGTACATTATGGTCAAGCATACACATATATAGGTGTAAATATTTTCATATCGTGAATCAAATACTGAGAAACTACTTGTTAAATGAATATAGTGTAATATATTAAACAATGGATAGTCTCAAAAGTGGTGATGTATATCAAATCAAATGACCTCTGTTGAAGGTCTGATCCAATATCAAATTCTAATTCTGTCTGACTGGTCTGGATGATCATAATATTATACCGATTCGTTGAGATTATCAAGTCTCTTGTAAATAGCGTAGCAGACGATTTTTTTATTTCAACCTTGCTCAACGTTGTACTCAGTTCTAAATGGAAAAAAAAACAAGTAATTAGTGAAATGGATCTTTAGAGCGATCTGAAAAATCATTGCTCTCCAATTAAACTGAAATGAAATATCCATTAATTACTTGTAATATTGTTCTACATAGCTTCCCTAAATATTGTATTAAAAAAAGTCATGAACATAGACGAAAAACTCCATCAGACATGTCACAATCATTTAGAAATAATTATAAATTTTGTCAATGACAAGGGAGTCGGCATCGAATATTATGCAATTGTTTACCAAGTCACGACGTAGACTATTCGCCTTTTACAATATCGATTGATGAGCTAAAACTACAGCAAAAAATCTACTTTTTACTTTTTTTGTTGAACGCGCGTGCAGACGATGCTTGTGTTATTTGCCCTGAAGTTTTTTTCTCTGTTTTATTTTATCGAATATTGTGTTATTTTGAAAATGAAGTTAAAACATTATTATTTTTTCGTCTAGTAAAGTCTTGAAGCAAAACATTTTATTTAAACCTGCTATTTTGATAAATTAAATATTCATAACAGTACAGACACCAACAACCACGTCTAACTACTGGTGGTAAATACAGTTCCAGACAGTCGTCACAAAATAGGTTCATGGAAACGTAATATCTAGGAATACATTATAGCACTCTATTAATAATATTTTGAAGTTTTTGAAGACACACTATAGTGTAATATACTTACTTGAAAATCTGGCGGGGTCGTGTTGACCTTTTACCACATGACCTCTATCACAAACAACAAGTGGGTTCATCTCTTACATCATACATCCCACACGTGCTTTAACACGAACGACAAAAGTTCGATGTCGTCTTTTTCGTGTTGTTTCTGGTCCGAATATCTGCTGGTACACTGTCAGAATGACTCGAGAGTTGGTTTTCAAGCTCTTCTATATTTCCCAGACACTGCATTCACAAACCTGGAAATTACATGTGATACAACGCTGTCTGTCTGGTTGGCTCCAATTTACGAGCCATGCGTCAAGCCGTCGAAGAAAACACACATTTCTTTTATCGAATAAAAACCACAGCTAGAAAATCGAAGAGATGGCAGACGATATAGAATGCACGCGGCGTCCCTCAGTCGTCATCGACAACGTCTGCAACTATAGCAGACGAAGAAATATAAACGAATAGCGGCAAATAGTAGACAGGCGGACATAGGTTTACTGAGCGCCAGACAGGTAGGCGCCACCAATCAACCTCAACCTGGCAGCTCTAAAGGGGAGTTATCAGCTGGGATCAATCTAACAGCCTGCTGTGTTTTAAAACCATTATTATTATCAACGCTTAATTCTCACATTATGTACTTAAATAGTTTTATGTCCATTATCTATTGTATTAAGGCCCTTTTATTTTCTTTCTCTTTCGTCCCTTTTAAAAATAATATCTAACAGTGGTGTGTGAAGCGAAGAGTATTATCTGTCGCGGTTTTTTTTCCTTGTGACTGAAGTGATTTATAAATGAAGTTACGTTCAATGTATAACAGTCAAATTGAGTTGTATTTCACGTTATCAGGTACCACTTACAGATGATTCTAAAGAATAAATGCGATCTGTCATAGAACCACATCAGTTCACATAAAATATCTGATTTCATTTAGGGTATCGGAGTATACCCATTATGCCAATTTAACATTACATCTTGGAAGTTATTGATGAAAATTGAGAAGCATCTAAAGAAATAAGAATAAATAACAAATGAATCGATTCTTTATTATGAAGTAATGAAACCAAACAATATCAGAGTTTCGACCGACATCATTCCAATATATTGCATCCACAGACCCCATCTTCTAAACCTTCGGATTTAATCATTGGTGTAGGCCGAAAGCCTACGGATATCTTACAATAAACCACAAATGATACTAATTCATTGCCTAGTTTACAAATCGGTGAACAAGCAAGAATAAGTATTTTCGGCTAATTTAAGAGCAAATATCACGTCAGTTCCCTTGAACATTTAGTTCGGTTAGAACAGTTACAGTCAGCAACATATGACATCAAATCGGTAAATACATCCAACATGGATGGCAGTGGCGGGGCCAAAGGGGGCAGCCTCCACCCTCCCCTCATTGACCCGAAAGCAAGTTTTTCAGCCAAAAATCTCATAACTAGGTTAGAGATTAGGGCAATCTCAGATATCTTGCAACCCCTTCGGACGTAAGGCTGGCTCCGCCACTGATCTATGGTATGTATGCAATATAAGATATGGTATGTATGTGATATGCTACTGTACGAATATGATGTAAGATATTGTATGGAATTATTATCAGAAATAGTATATCGTAAAAACTGTCTCTATTCAAGCCTCTGATAGCTATTTGAACAGGATGTAGGCTGGTATAGAGCCAGAAGACAGGCCCTGTTAAATGGGAACATTCCGCATCTCGGCAGGCTGCGAGTTTTTAAACATATTTAGATATCTCGGACCTGGAAAACATATATTTGGAAAGGTGAATGTTTTAGTAGCTCAGTCATTTTTCCCTACACCATTTATGCCACGTCTCCGGTTCCATCAATTTTTTTTTCACGAAACCGATCTCGTATCGACGATTTAAAACAACGTTCAAAGGTCACAGATTCACGTGTTACTAACTAAAAAAGGTTACGGTGATGTCCAACACAAATTTACAATGATCGTAAGGGTAATTAATGTTTAGATAGAAAAAACGCATCTTCGGGGGTGTGGCAAATCCCCATTTAACAGGGTATTTTTCTTCTGAATCTACTCTAGCTGACAACTGTCAAAATATCCAAGAGAGGCTGGAGTAGATGCAGATGTTTCGGACTACAGTAGTACATTATATTATATCACAATAATAAAAATATTATACACTGTACATTTTATTTATTTATTTTATGGTATTCGCCTACCCTTTTGGTTAATTTGATGTTATATGAGACAATGTATGGATGTGATATAAGATATTGTATTGATGTGATATAAGTCATTATAAAGATGTGGTATAAGGTACTGTGCGAATGAGATATATGATATGATATGAGTGAGATATATAAGATATTGTATGGATGATATATAATTCCGATTGTTTCGAAATCAGAAATTTCAGAAAAATTGTATAAGTACTGTCTCGAACAAAGTAACATGTCAAAAAGGCAATATCAAGGCAACCTGTCTATTTCAACCTGTGCCCTCCATCTCCTTCGCCCACCAATCGCAACCGTTTTTCTCCAACCCAAGATGCCAACAACACGGGACCTCATCGCATACAGGCAAGGAATCCAAATTATATCTGGCGGTGGCTACACCAGAATTTATTCACTAGAATGACATGCCGCCCCAATCTCCAATCAGAATGTAATCCAATGGATTATGCCATTTGGGATTCTCTGGAATGGTGTAAAGTGGTCAACTGGACAAACTGAATGAACAGGAACTGAAAGGCAGGATAGTCACTTCTTGGGAGCAGATACCTTTAGATGCGATCCGTAACAGCATCTCGAGATGGAAAAAACAGATGGTGGGAACATCGACACAGGTTGAAATAGGTAAGTTGCCTTGATATTGTATTTTTTTTTTTTGGCTTGTTATTTTAGTTGGGGCAGTACTTGTACAATTTCTATTGGATGGCTCTCATATTTTCAGGGTTGGACAACGACATCTTGAATTATATCTGTGATAATTTTGAAAGAGATCAGTTTACCAACAGAGAAACTAGCCGTCGAACTTTGGGACGCTTATTTTTGAACACCGGATATATTTGATCATGCTGTTCGTAAGTTATCGTATTGATATGCTACAAATGCTTGTATGGATATAATGTAAGAGCTTGTATTGATGTAATGTAAGAGCACGTATTGATGTGATTTAAGAGCTTGTATTGATGTAATGTAAGAGCTTGTATTGATGCAATGGATGAGCTTTTATATATGTGATGTAACAATTTATATTGATGCAATGTAAGAGCATGTATTGATGTAATGTAAGAGCTTGTATTGATGTAATGTAAGAGCTTGTATGGAGAGTTTGTATATATGTGATGTAAGAGCTTGTATTGATGTAATGTAAGAGCATGCATTGATGTGATGTAAGGGCTTGTATTGATGTAATGTAAGAGCTTGTATTGATGTAATGTAAGAGCTTGTATTGATGTAATTTAAGAGCTTGTATGGAGAGTTTGTATATATGTGATGTAAGAGCTTATATTGATGTAATGTAAGAGCATGTATTGATGTGATGTAAGGGCTTGTATTGATGTAATGTAAGAGATTGTATATATGTGATGTAACGGCATGTATTGATGTAATGTAAGGGCTTGTATATATGTGATGTAAGAGCTTCTATGGGTGTAGAGCTTTATGGATGTGGGACAAATTCTTGTATGATTGTGATACAAATGATGACAAAAATATC